TTTCGACTTAAGTCGCCTCTCCTGGAACCAATTACCGACGTAAGGCGAGGTATACCTGTATTAAGTACACTACTGTAGTTGATAAATAGTATCAAGATTTTAGATATTGAAAATTTTGTTCTATATATAGTTTCATCAGCAGCTAACATGAGATAAAACTGTCTTTAAATCAACATTTATATTTAATCTAAAATTTGCAGCTGAAATTATTAAAATTTTGTACCAGATTTACCACTCTAGCTTGCTTTCAACAACAAAAGATTCATGTTACATTACCCAGGTTTTGAATTCAAAGATAAGACAGTCTCAATACATATGAGGAGAATAGAAATGTTCTATTCATATCATCCTAAGAAAATATTCTTCAAGTTCATAATCTCTACTGTCAAAAGTTTATAATCTCTGCTAGCTTTTGTTAGCTTTTCATTCAAATTTTATGTAATATAAAGATTAAATTCTATATTATATGAACTATTGTGTACATTTTACTATATACTGTATAACTATCCACAAAAACCTTTATATATCAGTGTTGCAATATTTACAACTCGGGCGACATCATTCTAACGGTCAAGGGGAGACACTGCTTAGTCAGCACCTGAAGAAGACCTCGGTGGAGGCCGAAAACGTTAGTGGATATTGTAACGAACACAACACTGATATATAAAGGTTTTTGTGGATAGTTATTACTCAACACAATGTTACAGTTAGAAGATGTTTTGTGTTTTATACTGTATATTTCAAGCTGCATCAATAATTTTTAATATGGACTTGTCAAATTGATTTATTGTCTAAAATTTATATATCATCACATAGTTCTACATTTCCTTTTATAAATGTTAAGAAACCTTAATAAATAATATTTTGAGATTTGTATTTAATAGTGTTTTTAAACTGTTTAAAATATTCTGACTTTTTAATCTACAACCTTGTATTCAAGCTCTACCATAAAGGACTATCCATTATGAACTAACTTAATATTTCACACTATTACCACTGTTTATGTTCTTCATCTTTATGCAAAACTATTTTTTACATTTTATACAGATTTTCATAAATTTAGGATTTTATTATGTGACAAATTTTAATTTAACATCACCAGGTTTATTTTCCATTTTTATTGTCATAATTTAGAATATCCTGAATTTTATTTTATTAATGACATTTATTATTTTTAATTTGAAAATAACACATCTCCTTTCCTGCCAAAAATAATTATTTTCTTAATTTAATTTTTTCCAAAGGACTTTCAATTTCTACTTCTTCAGTAGAGGACTTCACACCTGATCACTCGGCTGTATCTATTGAATTATTGTCTATTATCACTCCAGAGAAGCAAAATAGTCTGCCACGCCCTTGAGAGTTGTTTTTCATCTTTAAAATTGATTGAAAGGCCTTGGCGTTCTGCTTTAAAAATTTCTAATGCCTCCAAATTCCTAAGTTGGTGTATATGATGAGTTTGCTGGATCATGGTTGTCTGTTGTAATTTGGGTATAATGTTGTTTTCACTGGCATATATAGCTAAGGTGGTCCTAAGGTAAACCAAAAACGTTCGTGGTACATTAAAAATATTTTCAAAGCTTAATACAGTAAGATTGGTAAGATTAGTATAATACAGTAAGAGCCCACTTAACGCTGATTTGATATAACGCCATCTGCTCGAAGCCTTAAAAAAAAAGCTCAAAATTTTAAATTATTGTGGTATTTTATTGATTCATATATAATATGATTATTTACAAACACAAACCAATCAGAATAAGGTGGCAAAAAAGTGTACTTTCTTTAAATCTATGTTTGTTTGATGCAATTTTGGAAAAAATATAACATTGTGGATTCCATAGGCAATATCGGCTTCACTTGGCAAGAATTAATGATAAATGCACGAACAAAGTGTGGAAGAAGTTATGGCTGAAGGTATCCAAGAATTCTCAATGAGAAGAGCCTATCGCTGTGTCATTAGGTTGATCAGACTCAACTTAATTGATACAGCAGGACTAGGAGATGTAGACGAACAGGATATTGAGGAGTTACCGCAGTTTCTGGTGAGAGTTTTATCAACAATGACCTTCAAGAACTGGCAGAACAAGGAATTCATGTAGAACTGGAAAATAGTGATTCTGAAAACGAAGAACCCAAAAATTTCTCTACAGATTTCCCTAGTAAAAGTTTGGTAATGATAACAGAAATCATTAATGAAATTGTAGCAAATGATTCAAATTTTGAAATGAGTGCAGAAGCAAAACGAGACGTTTTGGATGCAATCATTTGTTACTGACATTTGCTTAAGGAACGAAAAAAGTGACAAATGAAACTTCATGACTTTATTGCAAAAAAAAACAAGAATTTTAGAAAAGTCAGGACCTTTGTCAGAAAAAATGAACTATTAATATTAATATAGAAAAAATAAACTAATTAATATATTATTATACATTTCTGTGTGCATATATTATTATACAAATTAATATAAAAATAATTTAAAATTAAAGTAAAATTTATTTATTTTTGGCCATATTTTTCCCTATCCTTATTTACTCTATGTTAAAATTACCTCGTTTAACACTGTTTAGTTTAGCGCTTTGTCATCTAGGAACGCATCCCCTGCGTTAAGTGGGGTCTTATTGTATTTATATTTGTCAACGCTTTGTTTATAAGATGGATTTTATTTGAAGTTTGAATTTTATGACTGCTAGACTGACTTTGAGGTTCATGTTCATAGTTTTGTCTGTTGATTCAAGTATTATGTTATTATTCTTATTTCTTAAGGAGTCATGCAATTTGCTTAAATACCTGTTGTGTTATATGTTATGTACAGTACAGTGATAGCTCTTGGATATGTTTGTTTAGTCCTAAAAAAAAAAGAGCAATGGAGGTAGAGAATAAATTTTTGTGTGTCTACAATAATATGAACATTTTTAATATAGAAACACAATGCTCAAGGCAGATTCACAGATACAAAAGCATGTGCCCCCTGTTATTTTTCAGAGAATGTTACTCAATTATTTGTGAAGATTGAGTGTCGATATAATGCTGACAAAAGCAATACTCCATGTGTAATACCAAAGCACAAATAGTGAATGGATACAATTAATACTTTTATATACACAGAACAAAACAAGTGTTACAGGATCTTTTGTCGAGACTCAAACTAAGATTGGATACCAGTGAGTTTCCCTGTGTCAGGAGTGCACATGGTTACAGACCAATCAAAAGAAAAATGTTTCACGCATAACAGAAGTAACCCAAAATTAATATTACCTTAAAACTACCTTACAATCTAAATAAGAGTAAAGTAGGATACAAAAATTAGAAGGATAAAGATTGAAAGATCAATAATGAAAATACGTAGGATTTTGTTGGGGGATACTGTCCCTTGCTTGCAAGATAGGGTCTATAAGGAAGTTTTCTTGCTTCTGATTTTCTGTCTTTTGTCACAAATATAGTTCTGTTGCTTATCCAGCTTTGTGATGATCAAAAGTCTATTGTTTGGAAAGAAGCATTAATAAAATTTGTATCTTGTTGAGCTATACAGTACTCATCAAAGCTTAACCTTTTTGCTCTTCCATTTTTTCCTCCTCAGACTATGAGGACCTCCATGTATCCTCTCTGAAACCAAGCTTAAGAATGACCAGTTTCTCTTTCCTCTTTGGGCTCGTCTCTGTTCTCTGTATTGTTCTTGATGTTTCTCAGAACAGACCTCCATGTTGACAAAAGAGGGATAAGAAAGGGATAGAAAGTTCTAGAAAGGGAAAATAAAAAACAAAAGAAATATGTTGAGAATTAAAATAATTAAAACACAAAAATTTTAAATAAATAATAAGGCGCAGCCACATATCTTAAAATGACTTTAATTACATAAGCTTACCTAACTGAAGTCATATGATATGCATTATTACATCTATTTAATAGTAAAAAAAAAATCTGATTGCTTTGATATCAAGAAGGTGCTACAGGAACATAATCCCTGTAGAAACAGGCAGTAAAACAAAGTAGTAAAATGTGTACAATAGTCTTACAGTGAGTTGGAAATTTAATAGATGTACAAAAATTCACCTACAAAACTGCTAATAGAACTGGATTAAGCTATCACAGAAAATAAGTCTAGTTCTGCAGCAATATCTCTTTCAATAGAAAAGATTGGAACTGATGAAAATCTCCATTGATACATTGTTGTTTGGAAGTAGTTCTTGATCAGCTTTAACTTTAAAAAATGATAATTCTATAGATGTAACTGATACTGGTACAATTATATTTTCAATAATTAGCAATTTGATGATTTAAATACTAAGATATGAAATTTGCAAGCCCCTGAAAGCATGAGGTTCTAGGCATTGCCTTTTTCACCTAAATGGTTAATAAATCATAATTAAATGGTTATTGAGTTAAAAAACAAAACAAAAACATGATGTAAAAAATCATGCTAAATAAAAAATTATGACAATTTAGATGATAGTCAAACTTTTTTGTAGGAGATTTTCTTTGATAAAGATAAACTTTGTGCTTTGAAACAAAATATAGAAAACAATAATACAGGTAAAAATCTTGTACCACTTAGATGCACCAAGCTTATCTTTATCAAAGAGAAACTCTTAGGAAAAAATTTGACTTTCATATAAATTGTCATAATTTTTCACTTAGAGCAATGTTTTTACATCTCAGATGTGTTTGTTTGGATTTCAATTGTTTTTAGTTAATTTTTAAATATGTTTTTAAATTCCAGATTAATAATATTTTTGAAATCTCAGATTACACTAAATCACATCATTCATATGTATATAAAGTAATGACAAGAAACTAGCAACTTTAGTATCTTCTGATACTGTTTAATTAACTGATGTGTCTTTTTCTTATCACAAATCTTTGCACGTAATTATTTTCTCACTTTATCTAGAGAAATCACATCCATTTAATTATAAACTGAAACATCTTATAATATTTGTATATGAAATTTTAAAAAATGACAATATTCATTTTTAATAATCCTATATTAAAATCTCTTCTAGTTACAACAGTTTGTAGTGAATGGTGACTTACCTTGTTCTAAAGAAGAAGCAGCAGTTTTAGCAGGAATTCAACTTAGAATTGAAGAAACATGGCCAACTAGCAGGAAAACATCAAATAGATTGTCAAGTGATCAGAGCATGAAACTAAGGCCAATTACTGAAGAAACTAAGGTTGGTTTATTTATTAGTTTTTGTTGATAGAAAAATACTGTACAAATAATTATATGATATTAATCATTGTTTATGTGATGATTCATACATACAATTTTGCATATATACGTGCAAACATGAAAGTAAAACTGTAAGAAAGGAGTTCAAGTTTATTGATTAAATGTTTTACAGACCATGTCCTAGCAGTGCTGCCATTAGCATCAGGTAGATGGGCATTTGCCCTGGGTCCTGTGCTTATGGATTTTTGCATTTTGTAAAAATTAAATGAACTAAGTATAGTAGTTGAGGTATAAAATTTTTGAACAGATTTTAAAAACCATGAAGGTCATTCTAAAAGTAAAGAACATTTGTTTCTCTAGGTATTTTTATTTAAGATAATGAAACAAAACTTATTTTACAACACATACAATATCTTAGCTATTTTTCTACATAGTTGCTATACAATTTAAACATTTGTCATAGCATATCACCAGCTTTTCTATGCCTTCTGTACACTCAGTTACTGCAAAGTTCTTGAACCAGTCATTAATGGCCTCTTTCAGTTCATTGTCACTTTCATAGTTATTTCTGGCCAAAATATCTTCAATTTTGGGAAAAGATGGTAATCACTCAGACCCAAGTCTGGGCTATAAGGAGGATGTTCAAAAACTTTCCACTTAAACTGCTGAAGCAAGTTTTTCATCAATGCAGCAGTATGCGGATGTATGTTATCCTGAAGAAGCACAATTTCTCTGGACAACGATTCCTACCATTTGTTTTGAATGGCGCAGCATAGTCAGTGAAGGATCTGACAATAGGCTGCTGCATTTATGGTCTCCCCTGTAGGCATGTAGTGAGGACACCCTTTTGATCCCAAAACAGTGTAGCCATAACCTTTTTAGTGCTCAGAATTTGTTTGGCCTTTTTTTTTTGGTCTTGTTGGGGATCCGGACTATTGACTGGTGCTTTGTTTCTGGAGTTTTATGTGAAATCCAGGTCTCATCACCAGTAGTTTAAAAACTCCTCACCATTTTTGTTGTACCAACTGAGAAAAGTCAGTGCAGCTCCCATCCAGTTTTTTGTGTTCATCTGTCAAAAGTCAAGGAACCCACCTGGCACACACTTTTCTGTAGCCCAAGTCACCACTAACAATGCCATAAAGAACTGTTCTTGAAATTTCAGGAAAGAATGAACTCAGTCCATTTATAGTGAAACGTCTATCCTGTTGAATTTTTTCTTCAATCCTTGATTTTAGTTTACCAGTCACAACTGAAGGTCAGCCCAAGCGTTCTTCATCATGAATATTCATTCGCCCGCCATTAAACATGATGCACTATTTTTGAACTGAAGCTTCATTCATCACATTATCATAAACTTTGGTTATCTGTCTGTAAATTTTGATAGGTCAGACTTTTTTCGCATTCAAAAAGCATATTACACTATGAACCTCACACTTGGCAGGATCTTTAATTTTGTCACACATTTCAAAGTTACACTATAAACAGTAAATGATCATTGTGGCTAGCTGTTAGCGTCAGACTGGTGCAAAAAAATGGGAACATCCATGACGCGGCAGTGGGGGTGGTAGGAGAACTGCATGGCTCATCAGATCTAAACGTTCTTTTCTTTTGGAATGACCCTCATATGTTGTCCTTACGGGAAATTTATGATACAAACTGATTCATCAGAATTGCAAAAGCTGCAAAAATGTAGTTTTCTGAAAAGTAAGGATTTTGAAAATAGTTGCATTTTAATAATTATACAATGATACTTTGTATATTTATCAGTAAATAAATTTCACATTTATTAGTTGCAAATTGTCATGTCTTAAAGCCATTTTTTGCCACAAAATTTATTTTCAAATTTTATATTTGTCATTTATGTCTTTACATATATAACAAAAATGATACACATTTTGTTGGTCCCAGACCCATAATCAAGGTCTGTAGAATCTTAGAGATGTAGTGTCTATAATAAACTTTATTTATATCTTCAAACTGGCTTGCTTCACTGTCATCTTTACAGTGTTATGGCTCATTTGCTCTTCTACATTTTCTGAAATAGGTTTGCTCAAATACTTATTCAAAGCATCTGTCTCTTTTTCTGTTTCAACTTTCTTTGCCTTGACTATAGCCCTCTTCTTACTGCTACTTAAATATTTTCTTTTGGTCACTTTACCTATATTTATAAAAAATTACAAAATATAAAAATTGGCATTCATCACTGAAATGATAAAAAGTAAAGCATACTGTATTTAATGTCCACTTCAAATTTGTCATAAAAAATTCAGTAGATATTATATCTGCCAAAAGTAGCAAACTTAACTTCTCATATCATTTTTGTGTGTGCATCAGCGAAGTCTTTTTATTTGGCTTTGCTAATGCTTATAGAATTCTGTTTGTTCTTAAAATTTGATCAGTCAGTTTTGAATAAACTTTGCCATTTTCCAATAATTGTGATGAGGAATCCAAAAATGTAATAAATATAGGGGTCCATGACTTTATTTTTGAGATAGTGACAATGCCCATGCTCCCTGAAGCAATTGAGTCTGCCTAATGGAATTTAGGGACAAAAATAAAAAACAGTAATGTGTCTGCCTAACAGAAAATGGTTGTGAAAAATAAATAAAACACAAGAACAAAGCAATCAATGTTAATTACTTTGTTCTTGTGTTTGATTTATTTTTCAACATGAAGAGAAAATCCAAGAACAAAGCAATCAATGTTAATTGCTTTGTTAATTGCTTTTAATCAATGTTAATTGCTTTGTTCTTGGATTTTCTCTTCATGTTGACAAATGTAATGATCTCCTCTTCCATGCCCAACCAGTGCAAGGTTCACCTTGCCTGTGGTCAGCAGGTGTGAGGATTGCATCTTTCTTTCTGGCTCTGCCTCAACTCTATTGTGATGTCCTATATATTAGATGTCCTTAGTTACTGATTGTAAGAATAAATTTTTTCACAATTATTTATTTATTAATAATTAACAAATATATAATTTTATATATATACTGTATATAATTCTTTTATTTCATAATTTTTTATTATAAAGAAAAAATTCTAAAACATCCATGACAAAATATATTTTTATACAACAAATTTTAAAATACAGAATATTAAAGATTTATACAAATAAATGTATTCATGTAGTCTTTGTCGTCTTTTTTTACAATTGTAGGAAAATGATCCATGTTAACAGAGTTGATCTTTCTTTATGGGCTACTTTCCCCTTCCATAATTTTTTTTTCTTTATGATGTAAAATTTTATGTAAGATATCTGTCATGTTTGGGCTATAAGATGATGGCCCAGTGGGAGACAATTAGTACCTTTTTTTTACTGCCAAAAATGCAGAGTGAACAGGCAAGCAATAATTGCACATGGAGTGACACACAATACTGGCTAATTTATGAGTGTTCTATTATGTTTATGTTAATCTTTACTCAAGTGTAGCAAACAATGAGTTTTCTTGTAAGATGTGTGCTTTTTATTTGATGATATAATATCCAAAGTCTGGAACTTTTACCTGATTGACATAAATATAGGTGGGGGAAGTAGCCTATAAAGAAAGGTTGACTCAACTAATGTGCATCATGTTCCTGTGATTGTGAAAAGGACGACAAAGAAGACTACAAGAATACACTTATTTGTAGAAGTCTTTAATATTTTACAATTTTTACAATTTGTTTTATAAAAAATTCATAATTTTTCTAAATGATGCTTTCATGTACAATAACAAATATATATAATAATAATAATAGCACTTTTCCAGAAATTATATATTTAATATAAAGATTTTCAAACAGTTTATATTTTTAATGATAATAGTGTTATGCGTAAAATGCTGAATTTCATAAGAAGAACAGTAGTTACATTTGAAAATATATAAAAAAGAAATATATCTTAACTTTTTATATTTAGATTTAAAGTGCTTAAATCTTGAAATTTTGAACATAATCATGTTCAAATAAAAACATTAAATATGTATTATTTTATATATTTCTAAATGCAGAGTCCATCGAGAGACATTGTCAGGCCCAGGAGAAAAATTTACATGGGCCTCAAGTAAATAATTAAATTTTTTGAAAATTTATTTTGAGTTTCTTTTATGGAGGTATTATTTTTACACAAAATAAAGAGAAATAGTTATTGTTAATTACAATGATGATTTAGTAGTAATTAGCACTTAAAATAACAAATTGTGGGATGTTTGGGTCCTATAGATTCTGGATTTGGGAATTTACCCTATCTATTACGTACCTCCGAAACCTTTAACCGATGTGAAAACAATTTAACAATCCTAACGTTTTCGGACCCCTCCTGGGTCCTTCTTCAGGTAAAATCGTCAAATCGACCATTCGTTTCGAAAGAATTTTTCAAACCATCGAATGATAGAACGGCATCACGTGTTCCATTGAACGATAGAACGGCATCACATGTTCTATTGAACGATAGAACACGTGATGCCGTTCTATCGTTCGATGGTTTGAAAAATTCTTTCGAAACGAATGGTCGATTTGACGATTTACCTGAAGAAAGACCCAGGAGGGGTCCGAAAACGTTAGGATTGTTAAATTGTTTTCACATCGGTTAAAGGTTTCGGAGGTATGTAATATTTAGTAAACTCCGGTGTGTAATTGTATGTTATTATTTACACTATCATTTCCCTTTCTTGTTGGCCCTGTCCAAATGTAATAACTGTTCTTGAGTAGTTGGATAGTTTGTATCTATAAACATTTCTAATTTTAAATTAAGAATAAGGAGGATAAATTGCTAAAAAATTTTTTTTGCTAAAATATGACTTGTGTAATAAAAACACCAATCTTGTTAGACATATTTGATATTCTTTTGTTTGTAAGAAAGAGTAAATAAATATAAGATATGCATATATAAAATTATATAAAGCATTGTTTTATTTATAAAATCAAAATAATAAATTTTTCTTACACATCTCAAGCAACTAAATACATTTTTTTATATTTAGGAATCAATTTGTCAAGATCATAGTGTCCTAAACACAGAAAATAAAATAATTATTGATTCTGAAGGAGATGATCTGAATAATTCCCATGAAAACTCTAACCATACAACATACTGTACATTTTGGAGAGCTGCTAAAAGTAGTAGTATTCTTAAACAGTGGATGAGTGCAAATGGTAATAAGCCTTCACTTGTGTCTACCACTATAAATATTAAAGAATGTTTACCTCCTATGTATCACAACATGAAAAATATGATAAAGATTATCAAGGTAAGAAATATTATCATTAAATATGTTTTTATATATATATACTGCGTATATCATAGCCATCTGCTAAAATTTGCATTTTGAGAACTGCTAGCACTGCCATAATAGACATTTGTTTCTTGTTGACAACTTTATGTCAACAAAGTGATCTCTTTCTCATAGATGAAACATTTAATTTTGAACTTGTGAAATATATTATCATCTCAGCTAATAAATACATTTATTACTATATAGAATACAGTAAAATTTCAGTTATATGTTTTTGGACTTATAGGTTTTATTTGACAGATCCTTGCTTCTCTTATATAATAGTCTAATGCTTGCTTTCATTTATTTAAATTTATCTTTTACTTATATATTTAATTTATCAGGTACTATTCCATACAAAAATTCGTGTATAATTTGTTTTCTTTATTTTTATTTTTAACCAGATTGAAATAAAATATTTTTCAATAAATTGGGAAATTTAGTTCTGGGTATATTTATAAATCTTATCCACCAATTTATGATTGGTGTCTTTTATAGAATGGCCCATTTTTACCTGTAAAAAATATAGGTGACCACAGGGATGAGGGTGCTGTTTTTCTTATGGAAGGAGTAAGAACAATTAGAAACATTTAGACAGTTTTTAAGTGTAGAAAGTTGAAAAGAGTTTAACAAATACCAAGTTAATTAATCTAATGATCCAAAACTAATGAATTTTGAAATTTAATTGCTGACAAATTTTATTTGCTTGTTATTTAAATTTTAAGCAAGTAATCATATAACTGTTGAAACTGATTTTCTTCAATCCCTGAAAAGTTTATTATTCTTATACTTCATAATAAAAGAATAAGTTTTTTATATTTTTTTGTGGTGCTTTTTTTCCTTGATACTCTAAGCAAGTGCTTAATCTGCTTATTAGATAATCCAGCACCAATTACTGTAAATAGACTATACAGATTGAGTGTCAGAATTGTGATGGCCAGATGGCATCAGCCTACTGTCTGTGGGGACTCAGGATTGATTTGGACATGCAATGCATTAGGAAGTTTTCATGGGTGTAATTTCCATCTCTGTTATTTAGTACTTATGGCCCTGTTCCTCTCTATCTAGCCTCAATATGAAGGCCTGGCAAATCCATGATGAGTAGGGAAAAAGGCTTCCTTAGTGCCTACAGGGTAGAAAAAACCAAAAATTAAATAAAACATGTAAAAATTGCCATTGAGGATGTATCCAGGAATCTGCGTGTTACAATATACAGAAGTGTGAAAACATTCAACTGTTTTGTTCTACATCGTTTTAATAAGCCGTCAACATTATATGAAATGCCTCATTTGATTAGATAAATGCTGAAACATGCACTCATTTCAACATAGGCAGAAACCAGGTTAGCATTTCAAGAAGTGATAAGAAAAGCAGACAGATTCTGAAACAAACATCTATTACAGCAAGTGATAGAGCTTCAAAAAATGGCTAGTTACTTTTTGAAATGGTAGATTTCAGCATCTGGCTACAACAGTAGAGGGAGGAAGAAAGACAGAACAGTTAATTAAGAGAGTATGAGTGTATATAGTAATAAGTAAAATAATATATTTATAATAATTATATATGTATGAATTATAAGATTTAAATTTGAAAAATTACATTAGAATCTCATTACTGTTGTTGTTATATTTTTTATAGATCAATCAAATAAAATATTTTAATTATTTAATACATTAATTTTTAGGAACAAAAACGAAAATTATTTCATTCACCAGTTTATGAAAGTGAATTGCATTTAAAGAAGCTTTATATTCAAACATGCAAAAGACTTCCTGCTTATGGATGTAAAATGTTTCAAGTGAAAGAATTCCTTAGAGGAAAAACTAAAAAAAAGGTATGATTTAATTTTTTATTAGTATAAGAATATTCTTTAATTTTTACAATTTCTTGTTACCTTTTTTTCCATTGAATTATGGATATTTTTAATAATGAAAATAAATTTACATACTTACCTAAATATATACACTATATTTAGAAATGTAACTGTTATCAGTTTAATATTGATATATCAGTGTTTTGGAATATTTTCAATATATCAGAAATAGTTCATTTTACAAACCAATACTCCAATCATTTTTTGAACTGCAATTTGAAAAAAATTGTAGACCTATAAATTATCACTGTCATCTGTCTATATGTCTGTCCTTCCTTAATCTGGAGAATGGGGTTAGGTAGATGAAAGTCAAGACCAGATATGGAAAGCTTAGAAGAAAGAGGCCCCAATTAACTATATTCAAAAATCATGTTATTTCAATTCAAAAATATTCCCCTGAAAGGAGTTAGATGACCAGCACAACTCTATTGCTAGCAGGAAAAGTATGATGTACAGGCGCAAGATACTACTAATTTGAGGTGGAAAACAGGGATGGAGAGTCAGCAGAAATATATGACTCCTGGCTTCCAGCTTCTGAGTAGTATTTTTTAAAATGGACTTCAACTCTCCATCCCTGGTGGAAAACATAAATTAAATAAATTAAAAATATGATTAAAAATTGCAGCTCCGCATTGTGGCAAGTCACAATAAATAATTGCTTGTTTTGATTAACATTGTCATGGCAGCAATTCAAACATGGCAGTGGCCATACTATGCTATAAAACTAATGCATGGTAGACAGAGAATCTTCTCCTTGTGTAATTCACCACTAGTGGTCACATGACATGCAATTGTTGTTACTTTTGGAGAGTGCCAACTTGGTTGGGTGTGGCTTCGCAGGAGACCTTAGAGTGAAGACAAGTTCAGTAAATGAACTTGGGTATCAGTACCAGTTCTATCAATGCACAGGAAATAACATAATGTAGCAAAGAATTGCTGAATGAATTACTGAGTGCACTTTCAAAATGTTGGAAAAGCAACTCTTACAAGGTCACTTTACTACTACACTTCTCTTTATGAAAAAGAATATTATACAACATTATTTATATGATATTTGTATCATTTTCAATTATTTGAGATAATTCTTCATCCAAAAGTAAAAAAAAATTTATACTCTTTACGATGACATTGGCTACATGTAGGAGTAGCCATATTGTTGCACTGATAGAAAACTGAGTGTAAACACAGTTAACTTAGTGCTGGCACTGGAAGCAATTGGTTTTTCTAAATGCTGCACACCAAAACCAATTCTTTTACTAAATGATCTGTACATGCACTGATGCACTTAGTTCATTAACTGAACTTGTCTGAAATATATTGTAGAGATGGATCAAGGTCATGGATCAAGATCAGAATCCAAGATGGTTGTTAAATGAATTTATTTATTCCTGCAGTTTTAGAGGTCTTTTCTTCATTATATATCTTCAATATGAGTGCTAATATAGTGAGTACAAGTGTATTTTGCATATTCAGTATGAGTGTACAAATTATTTTACTTTTTAAGAAGCCTGTCTACCTATATGTCAACTTATTTGATTGACAGTGGTTGTGCAAGTAGATTTTACTTTATAATTACATTTATTTTACAGGTTAGTGTTAATATTCTTTCAAAAATAAATTTTGTTCATATAAATTTCCATTATTTTGATTTCTTGACATTCATTTCTCGTATGGCCTAATGTCATCTTGTAACTTTTGTAACATTGGTAAATTTAACTTTTAACTTTTGCATATGATATATTGACAGCTGAATGCTCTAATCTTAAATTTAATTACAAAATGTTCTTTCAATAAAAATAAGTGTAGCTTTGGGCTCTCATTACTAAAATTGTAATTGTTTACCTTTTAATTTATTTTTACATTGTTCTTTTTGGTTTTGTGCTTTATTCTTCATTGTTGATTTTGCATTTTAGCTTTTATTGGGTCTGTTATTTTTAGTGGAAATAGATAATCTCTTGCTGTATAGCACTATCTACAATGTATAAATAAATGAACTATCTCCAAGAGAACATGTTATTGACATTGACATCTTGCTTGTTCATGAGAGGCCATAAAATTATTTAGATTATTTAGTGTGATGTTTAGAAATATCGTCAAGTATTTGAATCTTAATCACTATAATCATTACAGGTTTGCTCTGTATTCTAAGCCATAATTCAAAATAATATAATCATTATTTTTAATATAAATTTAATAAAATAATATAATCAAAATAATTAATAAAAACCTTGCATTAAAGAGATTATTTATGGAATGAATTAAATGTTTCTTTGCCATAAACTAGAATATTTTCATACATGTACAATTAACTAAATATTTTGTTAACTAAAGTAATTTCCATTGAAATTAATTTGGATACTATATATTTTACTCAGTTATGTGTATTCAAAACATCATCATACTACTATATTTACTGAATCCATGGCAGTGCAATGTAAAGCAGTGGGAGTGCTGTTTCTATGTAATAGTTACTATTTGGAGGTGACTGGATGGATTTTAGCAATGGATGGGAAAAGTGCAAGCAATGTTGCCAAGTCTAATGATTTATTTCTAGTTTTTGCAATATTTCAATCCAGTTAGCAATTTGGAAACAATTTTTTCAATCTGGTGACTTTTTTATATTATAAATTTTTTCAAGGTTCAAATTGTTTTCTAAAAACAGGGTTGAAATCATGTTAGGGACAATACAATTACATTTGTTTTGACATAGATCTGAAAGGAGCCCATAAATCAATTTGTAAACTTTTATTTCTTTATGTTTGAAATTAAATGATTAGTAAAAAAGTGAATATTCTGTAAACCAATGCACTTTGGGCTTTAATTTATTACCAATAACTGTAGATTATGGATAGAAGCAAAATATTGAATCAGATGGAAAATTATCAGTATTGGATTACATCAGCAGAATTCAGAATAATATCATATCTCTAATTATATTATTACACATAAAAATTTATATTAGTATATGTACAAATATAAACATTCAAATTTAAATAAAATACAAATTCAAAAAATAAAATTCATAGTTTTATATTAAAGCCAAACAATTGCTGAATTATATCAGGCTATATTACTACTATTATTATTAATTAAATGCTAAGTCATTTGGTACTAGACTACTAGAGGCAGGCATTAGAAGACATCTCTTGCTAAATTTAATAATTATAATTTAATTAATATAGTAATAATTAATTTAGATGAAAAAATTGGCCCAAAGTATAAGTTGTGGGTTCAAGTCTTGCTTTGGGCCAATTCTTTTCTTCCAGAACTTTTTGCTATACAGTATTAATTAATTATAATTATTAAATTTAGCAAGAAATAGTGCCTAATGCCTGCCTCTAGTGCCAAATGACTAATCATTTAATTAATAGTAGTAATAATATAGCCCAATATAATTTGGCAATTGTTTGCTTTAGTAATACTGTAATTTGATATTAAAAATATTAAGAATATCAAAGAATATCAAATTAAATAAATAATAATGCTAGATTTTCTATCAAGCTGTATTGTTAGCTAAAAGGAAATTCATATTTTACATGCTCTTTCTCTACTGTATGGCAGAATTATATCTTTTAATGATTTGATAAATTATTCAAATTATTAATAGATGGCAACTGTCTTAAATATAATTTTTTCCAATTCATTAATTTCTAGTTAACTTAAAATATATCTTGTTAAAAAATCTGAAAGTTTTTACCATTTAATTTGCATGTATATCTACTTTTTGATGAAAATGGTAAATTTTCATCTTATATACTTTGGGATTACTAAGAGTATGCACTATAAATATGTATAGTCTTGTTTTATTTTCTTTTAAATAATTAATATATCAAAAAATATATTGATTATTACAGTTCATTTACCACTTTGAAAATATTTTTTTGTATATTTAGGCAACCAGATTATTAGGCATTGGATTAGAAAGAATAGTCTTGCTTGATAATAAAACATTATTGCCTGCTAAAATGCAGATGACTAGTGAACTTCAACAGTGGCGAACAGGTGGTGGTCGTTCTCATGATAGATTAGTATTAGAATTTCGAGGCACAAAATGGTCTTTTATTACACCTTCTCAAATAATGCTGCGTTCTATCAGTACTGTACTGTGGGAGATAATGCAAGATATTGATACACGATTTTTAGATCAACATCTTATTGTTACAAGACAACAATTAGAATTAGGTAAGTTTTTAGAAATATGTTTTCAACTTTAATTCAAATTTTTAATAATATGAGATTCTTTTGTTTAAATTATAAAACTATAAGAATATTAAATTCATTTCAATTTATATTATTAACCTAAGAGAGCAGAAAAAGTCTTGTTCTGCATCATGGAATGGAAGGAGCTACAATATACAAAGATGAACTAGAACAATTACAGGCCCTTCTTCACTTTCCAGAAGAGGTAGCCTTACAATTAACAGAAACAGAATATGAATTATTTTATAAAGTTGCACCAGTTCATTACATTAGACAAGTAACAGTGGATCTTAGTCATTACTCTAGATCTTCCAGTGACTACAGCGTACAAAGTTTGATTAAAAGATTCAATGAGGTATGAATAATTTAATTATTTCTATATTAAAATCTTTTTGTAAAATTAAGTATGATTAGTTGTAATAAGGCCTGTTTCATATTTTTCTGGACACTTGTCAAAAGTGACTTAATAATGAAAGCAATGCATTATTTAAGTTTAATAGACACAAAACAACATTTATCTACTAAGTTTTGACATCTACTTATATAAGCCGTTGATGCCACTGTTTGTATATCTGTAATCTGTCACGGAATGCCTAGAACGTGCACTGGGGGCATCCGTAGTGATGATTTAAATTTAATTATTATTTAAATTAATAGTATAATTTATTTATAACAGCTGAAAATCATCGCTAAGGANTTTAATAGGAATTTATTATTTATATGGATTTTCTTATTTAAACCACGGAATGACATCGCTGCTGCTAGAATGCCCACTAGGGGGCATCCCAGGCTACTAGTAATAAATTGTTTTATCCTCATATACCGTGTATACTAGGTATTAGGGGTTGGGTAAGGCAAAATTGGAAAATTAAGGACTTCATACAAATTTTTTCTTTTTACAAATGAAAGAAAAAACGTTTACTCCGTGTAATTAACAAATCCAGGTTTCCTTGATACCAGAGTTTAGGTATCTGGTCAACAAATTTTTGTACAATCGAAAACGTATATATACATAAACAATTACACCTGATATACATACAACGAACCTCATGGTTGTACTATCTCAACCTTCAATACAATTAAGCGAACAGCTCCACGTGTGATTATAATACCATGGTTGGTTAAAAAAAAATATCTTACAATTGTTCTTCTTACAAGTTAGTTCACCTATTCTCGGCACTCTTTATCCTACTTGTAGCAGATGTTCTTGGCAGCTGACCCAACGGAAAAAGATCTTTTCTTACAGTGAACCTCTGAATTTATACTCCCCACCATTAGATAGTATGTCGTCAATACGTTGTACGACCCTCGCCCAATCAGTGAGTACATAAGATACACCACATTAAAACGTGCATGTCCCAGCACAAAACAGAAACTATGTTTAATTGGATATACAACCCGATGCAAAAAAAAAAGAAAGAAAAAACAGAACATGCAAGATACACATTAATTTACAAGACCATTAGTGCTGTGGCACTACACAATAAATGGAGAAAAAATATATATTAATAGTATTGTTGATTTACAGATGTCAAAAAAAAAGAAACATATCAAAAGAAACTGTTTCAAATTTATCTGAATTGTCATTACTTTTCCACAAAATAAACTAAAAAACAATAATATTATATAAGTAATGTGAAAATTAGGGGTAACCACACTATTACATAAGGATTTGTGTATGAACTTCAGTTTTAAAAATAGGGAGAATAAAAAATTTCTCTCTTTACAAACAGGAACAAATTGATTCATAAGCAGAAAAATCAGTAAGGGAAATTGTTGCTCTTGATAACAGACCAAAATCAACTATATCAACACTTATCAAGATGTATCAAGATGACAGAGAAAGAACATTTTAAAAAGGAAGACTGGACCAAAACCTAACCTGACGTCACAGGCATGTAGACAAATAGTATTGAGTTGTACCAAAAAATCTAATCAAGAAGGAAATCAAAGAAGGAATTATACTTGCCTTGTAGCCATATAAATGTATGGAGGGCTCTGCATATCATCTATTCTAAAATATAGGAAAAGCTACTAGACCACATTTAATGGCTAACACTAACAAGGAAAACTTAACTGTGCATACAAATACATGAGCTGGATCAATGAATGGATTGAAGTGCTCCTTAGTGATAAGAAGTTTAATTTGGATGGCACAGATCATTGGGCCTATTACTGGCACGATTTAAGAAAACAGTCAGGATAGTGATAGTATTGGATTGTAACACTTCGTGGCTATTATGTATTATATTATTTTATCTTTATTGTTTTTCATTTATGTCGCATTGCACATATGTTTTTGTACAGATACTGTTCCGTTTCCTTCCTCGATACCACATGTTATCTGATGGCTGGGTTTTTCAAAGTTACGATTGGTCCGTGACAGGATCAAGTGGGACAGAGTGATGTGGGTTAGCGGGAGATATAAAAGTGTGTGTAATGGATGTAAAAGGACCTTTTTCCCTCTTTGTGAGTGTGCACCGTGGACGGAAGGAGATACGATACGTAGCAGAGAGGAGAGTCAACCGTCGCTAGGGTTAAGGGAGATATGGTGCAGAAAGGAAATCCGTTTCCATTGAAGGAATAACAAAAAAGGAAGTGGAAATCACTGTCTAAAAAAGGAAGAGGACTAACTATTGTGTAAAGATTGTCAACGATTGTATTGTTACGAAAGAAAGCTTGTAAGTTGATTGGGTACTGTGTCCCAAATTTTTCTTTGTGAAAATTTTTGTCATCGGATTTATACTGCTTGTCGGGCAAAGCAGGGCCTCGCATTAGGAAGGAAATTTGGAAGGGGGAATATCGAGCAGTATTGTTATTGTGATGCTATTGGTTTCCATTATTGAACTGTATATTTGTATTAATATTGTACAGCATTTTTAGTCTAAAATAAACCTTAGTTTGTCAAGTTACACGTTTTCACCGACTATTCATTATCATTCCCTTTGTTTCATTCATTGTTTGTCTAAAACCGCCAACCATGTGCCTTGCAAAGTTTACAAGATGCTTTTGGTTTTAATCGAACAACAGAATTAGTGTTTATAATCCAGAAATATGAATTTCAAAAATATGAATTTAGAGGATTATCAAAACATACTTCATAATCATTTAGTGGAAGCTGGACCCAACATTTCTTGCCCAAATTGGATTTTCCAGCAGGACAGTGCACCCATACAACTTGAAGACTACAAAGTCTATAAAAGTTATGGACTGGAATGCCAGAAGTCCAAAATGTTTGGGGTTGCTGGCAACAGCAGTTTACAAAAATGGGAGATAGTTTCAAAGTGTTAGTGAGCTTAAAGCTATAATTGCTGATGCTTGGGACAAATTGAAGCCTGAATGTCTGCAGCAATTAATAGAAACAATGCCAGACAGAGTGTTTGACATTATTCAAAAAACAAGATGGCAATATTAGATGGTGATTTTGTGTGCAATGCTAAGATACAGCATAATGTCAGGATAAATATGAAACAGTTTATTGATATGTTGCTGTTTTTGATATCTGTACAGCAACATTATTATATGTTTTTCTGCCATTTATTTTATATCAAAATGTAGTAAATAAATGTTTTTTAGTGTATACTGGACTTAATTAAGCATTTCTTTTGTTATTAAGTTTTTGTTGATAGGCATTCAGATAAATATGAAACAGATCTTAATTATTATATTAATGGATATAATTAAAATATTAATATGTATGAAAGATATCATGTATAATACTGTAATATAAGTATTTTCTGTTTAGATACATTATATACAAATGTTATTTAATATATAAAATCTTTTAGTACAGTATTACATATTTAAGCACATTCATAACACACATTCATTATTTACATAATTTGTTTCTTTAAACATTACTCTGCACCAGGGGTTGCCAAAGTGGTCGATATAACATTATTGAGGGTCAATTATCAAGCATAAGCTAAGGATAAGGGGGAGCTAAGGATCAAACTTATCCATCTCACTGATTGTCAGTTATAAAAATTATTATTAACAAATATACAATAAATGAAAAAAATGCAAAATGAAAAATAGTAAGTACCTTTAAAATAATTTATTAAAATAGTAAGTTCTTTGTTTTGCTTGTAACACAAACTTTTTGGTGGGGATCGATGTGAGGTTTTGAAAACTTGTAGTGGATCGATAATCAAAATGGTTTGGTGACCCTTGCTCTACACTGAAATTAAATTTGATCATAATTTGAAATACATTATAATAAACACTTTATTTATTAACACAGATTTCAAGCACTGTGCATAAGAAAAGCTTCTTTCTTGTTATATATAACTATTTTTCCTATAAAAACATTTAAAAATAAAAATAATAATACAATTAGTATGTAATGAAATTTTTCACACATTTTTTAAAAAATAATTAATGCAAATCAAACAATTTTTCACAGGCATAATTATTTCTAATATTTATGAATAAAAAGCTATTTGTATTAGAGACAAATGAACAAATGAAGAAACATAATACTTACAGAATAATAATTAAAGAGAATAATATAAATCAGAATATTATCAAGAGATCAGAACAATTAAAAAGCTATAAAATAATAATATAAAATAAATCATAGCTGAAAAAAGAGCAGTTTCTGCTATTACCATATTTTCAACTCTCATATCTAACCTTTAATACTAAATTTACACTACAGAAAGATGAAGATAGGGGTGAGAAGTTGTAAAGATGGTGGATAAGACAGAACAAAGACCCCAGTCCTGTAAATGTCTTTCACTCCTTATTGTTATGAGGGGGCCACATATAACTTCTAGCATCAAATTAACATTTTCTTCTTTTTTATCTCAGTTCCTGAGTGTTTTGATCACTAATCCATCAGTCACTGGTCAAATTGATATCAAATTGTAGTAAATGCACGTGATAGTACAATGAACAGCGAGAGTAGGTACAATGATAATAAACAAAATTTATTATTCGATCCACATGGTGGTTTTCATTACACGGGATTCTAACTTGGATCCCAACTATAACATACACATTTGTATATGAAGTTACAATTAACAGGAGTGTTAACAAACAAAAGGGTGCACACTTTGCAACAATAAGTGTTACAGTCGGACTTTCTTGAATCTTTATAACTAAACTTAAAACTAACTTATATACTAAAAAGAAGAAAGATATAAAATAGGTGTTAGGAAGGTGGTGATGAAAGTATTTATAGTACCAGGGTTTTTTCGTGAAAGTCTTCGATCTTTCAGGTGGAGGGATCACTTCAGTTCATTTTCCACTACTCTTCTTTGTTTCAAAGTTTATATTTCCAAAATCATTCACTCAATTTTCAATTACTATGTTGACGCTATGGTTTTTCCTATCACTGCCAATAATTTCTGTCTTCCGTCCCACTAGGCAATGCTTCAGATCTTGCTCTTTCTATGTCTGTCCACTACGAACGATCCACCAAGAATGTCCACCTACTTCCCCAACTTGTCTCAGGGCTTTTCACTTTGGTGAAAAGCCCTGAGACCCTGAGAACTTCTCGGTGTAGTTCCCTGAACTGTCTCTCCACTCACAGGAAGGAAAGACCATTAGAAAGTTTGAGAAGAAAGATACAGAACAAAAGACTAAGGAACTTAATATTATGCTTAACACTAAAACATATATACAAAATATGGCATACTACCACAAAATCCCACACTAACTTTGGCCCAGGAATTTCAAAGATTCCCTCTCAAAGTTACAACTTCACTTGTATACTAAAGTACCAAACAATTTCTCACACCTACCCCAGTTCATCCTCTCTTCTAGCACCAGCTCAAAAGTTACTCTTCTTTACCTTGTATGTCCTCAGGTAACCTCTCACTCATTATACTGGTTATTCCAGGAAGGGGCACTCACCTTTAGGAAGGAAGAATTAAGGAAATTAAAAAGTTCTAGAAGTTAGAAAGAATAAAGAACAGTGGAAAAATGTAAGAACAAAAAGACTAAAACAGACATATGGCATACAGCCACATATAAATAATGAGATGATGATAGGTACAAAAATGTTGATTGCAAATTGGATTTTTTCAATGATCAACAGTTATTTTGGGAGTTAGGCATATTTTAAAAATTATTGTACAGGCATTATTGTATGTTGTACGATGCCTTATATAATTGTACAAGTATGATAATTATTGTACAGATGGCAAATGGCAACCTTAGATATGATGTTTTTGTTAAATACAAAGGTAATATATCAACATCCTGAAGCCAATGTATTGATACTAATTCACACTCTCGCTGTAATTAATTGGGCTATTATTATGCTATAATTAATAATTAGAAACTAAGTAATTTGATACTAGAGGTAGACATTAGCACCATCTCTTATATCTCTTATCTAAATTAATAATTCTAATAATTTACTAAATAATTTAGAACATTCTAGAAGAAAAGAACCAGTAGAGCAGGACATGAACTTGCAACCTCCACTTATCATGCGGTGTACTTTGCCAGTTATGCCATCCAGACCTTGAGCAAGTCTTCACTTCCAGACATATTTAAATTTAGATATAACCATTCACAGTTACTTATGTTGCTGGTTAGGGCAACTCCTATGCTCGTGACCTGTGTACCTGTCCACTATGGCACTCAGCCGGCTATTACTTTATCTGACATGGTATATATGTATACATATCAACATCCCTTTAACACCTTTTTAAATAATTGACACCATCAGTTTGCTTGCAAACTGAGCAAGCATCAAATTGGTCGTAACTTGTTTGATATCAACAAGTTACAATCAATGGAAACTTTTGAAATGTTCCAAGATCTAGAAAGGGTGAATGGATTAATTTTAAGGACAAAGAAATGTTATCGAAAGCATGGTAGTCTCTAGTTGATAACCTAATGAGGCAAGAGAATGACATAGGCTTGACTTAAAAAATTATTAATAGTATGTGTAATTATTTTATTTTAATTTTCTTTATATTTTTTATTTATTTTAATGTTTTCATTTTAAAAATATGTAAATTATCTGTTTGTAGAACTTTTAAAATATGTAAATCGAATTTGTTTTTAAATTTACAAAATTCNATTTAATTACAAAATGTTCTTTCAATAAAAATAAGTGTAGCTTTGGGCTCTCATTACTAAAATTGTAATTGTTTACCTTTTAATTTATTTTTACATTACTAAAATCGAAATTTAAATAATTATTGGAAAAAATAAAGAATGTTTTTTTTAACATGAGGCAGACCTCTGAATGGGTCAAAAACATTTGTTTTGATTAAACTAGTTCTGGAAAAGTGTGTAAGGTGTAGTGTGATTAGTATATTTGTTTCCAGTATTTCTACAAGTGCCTTCAAAATAAAAATTATTGCATCAATTTTATTAATGAAATGAAATCTTAATATTTTTGCATAATTCTATTTTATAGGTGAGTTCCTGGGTATCTCATATCATTATTTCTCAACCTACTCATGAAGATCGCAAAGCTGTATTATCTTGTATATTAAGAGTTGCAATTTGTTGTTGGAATCTTGGAAATTTTAATTCAGCAGTTGAAATATTAGCAGGTTTGAAGTAAGTAAATTTAATTATCTTAGTAATAATTTTTATTATAAATATCTTATATATATTATGCTCATATTCTAATCTGAGCATAATATACAGACAGAGCTGTACCGAACAGTTTTGGCATCCAAGGCAAACCTCATACCTGGCACCCCTGATTCAATGTTAATTACAAAAAACTTCTATGGGCTCATTTTGGTGCTGCTCGGAGCACATGCCCACTTTTGCCCTCCCTTAAGTTATGTCATATACAGATGTATTAATTAATATATGTGTTAGTATTATTGATTGATTGCAATTAGTTTTTGATATATATTGTTTTAATTTCAACTTAATTAATTAAATAATTTAACTTTAAAAATAAGGCTACATTTAGTTAATTGCAGTTTTTAAGAGCTTTTGATAGTTTTCTAATAAATTACAAAATTCTTGTTTATTTTAATATTACTGTAATTATAATTTTAAAATGTGCAAAATTACATTCTGTTCATTTTTCAATGATTTTTTTCAAAATATATGAAATTTGTGTATTTATACATTTTTTTAATCATTGAAGGCAATAGATTTATCAAATATTTGGTAAGTATTTTGTTTTCAGTGATAACAATTATTCAAATTATTTTATAGTAGTTTTGAATTTACTTTAAACACAAAATAAAGAATTTTTAGTTTTCAGATAAATTAAATTTAAATCTATTTTAAATTAATTAATAAAAATATATTTCTCTTTCAGATCAGAAAAATTAAAACCATTCTGGCTATCCATATCTGATCAATTAACTGTTCTAGATATGTTGACTGATGCACTATTAACTTCAGAACCTTCATTAGAATATCAAGAAGCAGTTGAAAGAGCACTTGCTATTCCACACAGTAAAGTTATTCCATTTTTTGGTACATTTTTGAGAGATTTGCAAGCTGTTTTACATGGTATGCCAAGTCTTATTGTATTGCCAGCATACAATACTCAAAATCTAGAGGTAATCAATATTTTAATATAAAAAGTAAAATTATAAAATAAGTAAAATTAAATCTAGATGTTAATTTAAAAACTTCTACATTAATAATTACAAAATATCTCTTTAACTTTGCTATTAGTTTATATCAGATTTTCATGGTGAAGATCACTTTATGTCAAGAATTGGAGTAGGAGGCATCATTAATGTTGAAAAAATTACCCATGCTCACCAAATATTAGATGATATACAAACATTTCATATTCATGCTCAGCAAAGACTTCAGACTATGATAGAGATAGCAACAAAGGAGATTAAGTATGTAAAAATATTATTTAAATTTTAGTCTTTATAAATTAGTGTAAACTAAAAATTTATATTTATATATTGGTATTATATATATCATGGATAAATATTTAAAATTATATGGAAAGTATGAATATTAATAAAATGAGATATAAGGTGTGATCAAATGAAAAGATACTTTTCAAAATATCATGAATTAAAACTACATACAAAATACAAAAATCAGTAAAAGGAATGAAAATTATTCTTTTTAATGTATAATAAAGTAGATAATTTTTATTCTTTTTACTGGTTTTTGTGATATTTTGTGTGTAGTTTTATTCTAAACAATCAGTTTTTTGCTGTGATGAATATTTTTTTTTTTATCATGAATTACATGGTACACAAGATACTCATTCTTTTTGTAGTAAATAGCCACAAGTGTATGTGATATCACTGCAGCAAGACACTGGGTACAATATTGGTCACTAAGCAGTATCACTACGAATTAGTTGTCTCTCAGTGGTGCACATCATGTAGGAAAATAGAGCTGCCATTGATGGACATTACAATGGAAGAACAGTGAGGTGTGATACACATCCTATGTGTGGAGCTTGCTGTCTTCTCCAAGGCTGTTTCTATGCTTCTTTGAAAGTTTGGCTGCTGCTGTTAGCATTTTTTTGATACCTTTATTGATAGCATTTATGGCCTGAGTCAGCTGCTGGTCTTTATAGCTCAAAACTGAGTACCACATGACCCAATACATACACAAACTTAATCATTTGCATATCTCTGTCACTTCTATTGATCTTGCAATTTTTCAAGTGACTATGTGCATTCCTTCATGGTGTTGTGATTTCACTTTTGAGGAGTGTAATGACATGATAGCCTTACCATGACATATTTATATCAAACTTATATAACTATTTATACCTAATTTCCCAAATGCTATTAACCCTTTCCTGTCACCTGACAGGAGTGGGAATTTTGTGGGTCCTGATTGGTGGTTTTGCCAACAGGGAGGGGGTCCTGCCCAAAGCGATCGTTAGACATGGGGTCAGAAAATGGACACTTTTGGATTAGTCACTGAGAAGGAAGGTCAAGAGAGAGACTGAAGGACCATGCGTGAGACAGAGATCGACAGTGAGAGCCCAGATAGAAAAGGTGGGACAGAGACTAGAAATAATTGAGATATCTGTTCCTGAGAGGTCCCTAGAAATACCTCGGTGAATAATTGTTAGCATCTGCATAGTATTAACTCTGATGCTGATAGATTGGACATCCACTGTGATTAACCACCCAGATCAGGACCCCCATTGTCTAACTTCCGGTAGATTCCTCTTACTATTTTTCTCTATCTATTTCTATTAGTTGTAGTGTTATGTTAAGGTTAGTTGTAAGTAGTTTAGTTTTAATCAAAATGTATGTAATCAAATTTTTGTTTGGAAAAATTTGAGCGAGAGCAGAGACCTTGTAAATATATGTGTTATTTTGTCTCTGACGGGCATCAGTTTTCAGTTAATCAAATAATTTGGCTAATAAACTGTTTGTTCCTCGTGGCTTGGTCGTATTATTATGTGTTCTACATTTGAACCTTTCACAAATTAAGTAGTAATAACTATTTGAAATTAATTATTAATTTTTTCTTAATTATTTATTTAGTTGTGGAAAAATGAAATTAAATAAAATCATTGTTATAATAATTTATTTGTAAGTTAAAAATGCTGTTTTATCATATAATGCCATCTAATATTTATTAGAGATCAGAAAAATGAGTATGTTGAAAATTTTTCTGTTTCATATTTCAAAACTATTAGAATATCTTTATCTATGAAATGTAAATAATTATGTACACTATTTTTTATAATTTATATAATAACAATCATCAGCTATTATCTGTCACATATTTCTATTTTTCAAAGTTTCATCCATCCAAAATTCACTTAAAAAACATTTTAAAAAAATAATAGATTTTAAGTTACAAATTTTTTGTTTTTATAATTTATATCTTTAAAGCATTGTATATTTGAAGTTTGCAGATAAGAATTCCTCTTTACAATGCTAAAATAAATTCAAATGATAATATTATTATTATTTTTGTTTCTTCAACAGTGACAAGAATGGACTTATTGAGCAAAATGATGATTTTTATGAAATAGATATAGGTGCATACAGACCCATTCAACCACTGAGTTATGATCATGGAGTTAGTTTTGTACCACTTACAGAAAAGTCTGTTGATTTTCATAATCTTCAATGTTTACATCATGGAACAACTGTGATCCATCTGGAAGAAGAAAGAACTCGTTCAGTTCTTTGTTATCTAAAATTAGAAAGAAGTAATTCTTTATTAACATGGTGTAAACCAGCTTGGAGTTCTCTTAGACCAAGTGGATCTCAAGATTATTCCCTTAATTTACATATTGAAGAACCAGTATCACCTGGTTTGCTTTTAAAGTATGACAGTAATGAAATAGCAATAAATAACCTAGAAGAAGGTTTTATTGATTTGGGATATGTTAAAGAAATTACACTTGGACAAAGCAATATTGATATAGGAGCTCTTTGTCGTCGACATGGATTAGAAGAAACTATGCTTGATCAAAACTGTATTAAACTTTTATATGGAACTAATCTTTCTGATAATAGGACAATTGAATTCTTTGCTCCCAAATTAGTTGCACGAGTATGGTATGAAGGTTTACGTCAGTTAATACATCTTTTAAAAAGGCAATATCAGCTTTGTGATAGAAGGATTCATTGGTTGAAAGAACAATACCTGTATTTATATTTTGAAGAACAAGCATGCATTGGTCCAACACCAGCTGAAGCAATTAAGGTGAAATTTTTTTCTTTAATTAAAAGTAGTAATTACTAATTATGATAATTTCTATGTAGAAAATAATTACTGAAATAATTATGTCTGAATAAATTTTTTATAATTTAATAACAATGAAAATTCATTTTTCTGTTTATTAGAATCATGCTTATTGTAATCATGGATATTATTGATCATTTAATGTAATCAGAATTAGTATGTACCAAAACACTATACAATCAAACCTCCGTTTATAAACTTAATTCATTCCTAAAAGTTGTTTCAAAATTGATTTGTTCTCAAACTGAAACAAATTTTTCCAAAAAATAAGAAACAATGCAAAATGGATTAATCTGTTTTTATCTTCAAAACAAAGCCTTTTATTTGCCTTTTTAGCAGCATTTCGTGCATAAAAATGTCTACAAAATGCAATATGATTTTATCTATATCCATTATATATATATATATATTAAAAGCAAGGTGTTTCATCACACAAACCTAAACTAACACTTTACAAAAAGTGCTATAAATAGAGATTTGACTCTGCTGGGATAAAATATAATTAAATTAGTCAAGACATACAACAAGTACTTTATCCACACTTTCCAAAATGTTTCAATTGCTTTGATTTAAATTAATTAATTTTGATTTTATTTTTAATTTTAGTTTCAATTTTGGTGTAAAAAGCAGAGTTTTAATTATTATCTTTTAGTATTAGCTACTTTATATTATAATATTAATGTTTAATATAATATTTATTAATACTAAAATAATATATTAATAAACTTTTGTTATTTAATTTGAGTCAAGTACGAATTATTGGATGCCATTTATAACCATATCCATAATCCATAATGCATAACTATATTATGCAAATGTAAATTAATGCAGTTTTTATTAATTAATTTGATTTAAATTGAATTGTGAGGTTTACCAAAAACTGGAATTACCCCATGTGCATTGAAATCTAATTTGAATAACAACATTGATGGTTTATGTTATGACATCTAATGACGTGAGGCAAACCTTGGTGCTACAACTGAATCAGTAGCAGGGGCGAATTCTCTGGGCTTGCTTAGCATGTGCTGCATGCTTAATTAAGAGAAAGCTTTGACTGTCATTATACTTTTTATATGAGAACAAATATGCCAATAATAATTTATTGTAACATGTAAACTCTTTTATCATTTGTGTTAGCTTTTATGTTGCCAGCTAGCAGCTAGCCGTTTTAAGTCAGTGTGATGCTTGCAGGAACTCGATTGCTTGCTCGTGTGGAGGTTTGCTGCAGCAAACAAGTGCACATGCATGATGTCATTCAAAGCATTTAACACGACCAGATTGCATCAAAAACTTGCAGTACCTAGTCAGCATACATGTATTATATTGTTTCAAATCTACGTTGTGAATGTGAATTGGTGTGAGTTACGTATGTTGTTGCTATACATTATTTTATTCACACCAAATAACGTTTCTGCCTATTGTTTAATGTGGGGGTCCCAAACTCTTTTCACAGCGGGCCAGATAACTGAGAGAATTACAAGCGCGGGCCGCATAACCATTTTGTCCAATACCGTATACTGAATACACAAAAAATAAAGAAAACCAATGTATTTATTTACCAATACACAAATATGATCGCTGCAGCAAGCTTGTAATTGCTTTTCTTAGAAACTTCATTGAAGGTACTTAAACAAAAAGCACTCTGATATCCATAGTTACCAAATTTTTTGTTTCACTGATTTTCCTAAAAATGATATTACTGTCAGATGCAAAAATCAGATTGGACCACTTCTTGCATTTTTACTTACACTTATTTTAATTTTTTCTACATCTACAATCTATGATAATTCCATATAAATAATTATTTTAGATCATTTGCGGTACAGTGTAGTAAGCCGATGAACTGGCCTTGTAGGCTGGATCTGGCCTGTGGGCCTAAGTTTAGTGACCTCTAGTTTAATGCTAGAGATAGGCCCATTATTACTATTATAACTTTCACTTGCCCAAAAATTTTAGTCAGGATTCACCCCTGATCAGTAGTTCTGTTGTTGATTGGTTGGACCCAGTGGCGTGTCATCCATGGTAGCTGTGGAAGCATCGCTTCCCTTGTATTTTCTAAAATATAAATACATATTGTGCAATTATTTTCATATTTTAACATACTTTGAATTACTTAAAATTAATATTTTATTATAATCACATTATGTATTTTATTACAAATTTCTATACATGTGAAAAACAANTGGAATTACCCCATGTGCATTGAAATCTAATTTGAATAACAACATTGATTGCTTGTGTTATGACATCTAATGACGTGAGGAAAACCTTGGTGCCACGACTGAATCAGTAGCAGGGGTGAATTCTCTGGGCTTGCTTAGCATGCGCTGCATGCTTAATTAAGAGAAAGCTTTGACTGTCATTATACTTTTTATATGAGAACAAATATGCCAATAATAATTTATTGTAACATATAAACTCTTTTATCATTTGTGTTAACTTTTACATTGACAGCTAGCAGCTACTGTTTTAAGTCAGTGTGATGCTTGCAGGAACTCGATTGCTTGCTCGTGTGGAGGTTTGTTGCAGCAAGCAAGTGCACATGTATGATGTCATTCGAAGCATTTAACACGACCAGATTGTATCAAAAACTTGCAGTACCTAGTCAGCATACATGTATTATATTGTTTCAAATCTAAGTTGTGAATTGTTGTGAGTTACGTATGTTGTCGCTATAGATTATTTTATTCACACCAAATAACGTTTCTGCCTATTGTTTAATGCAGTGGTCCCAAACTCTTTTCACAGCGAGCCAGATAACAGAGAATTACAAGTGCGGTCCACATAACCATTTTGTTCAATACAGTATACTGAATACACAAAAAATAAAGAAAACCAATGTATTTATTTACCAATACACAAATATGATCACGGCAGCAAGCTCGTAATTGCTTTTCTTAGAAACTTCATTGGATATCAGAGTACTTACATAAAAAGCACTCTGATATCCAAAGTCACCAAATTTTTTGTTTCACCGATTTTCCTAAAAATTATATTACTGTCAGATGCAAAAATCAGATTGGACCACTTCTTGCATTTTTACTTACACTTATTTTAATTTTTTCTACATCTACAATCTATGATATTTCCATATAAATAATTATTTTAGATCATTTGTGGTACAGTGCGGTAAGCTGATGAACTGACCTTATAGGCCGGATCTGGCCTGTGGACCTAAGTTTAGTGACCCCTAGTTTAATGCCTATTCCTATTATAACTTTCACTTGCCCAAAAATTTTAGTCAGGATTTGCTCCTGATCAGTAGTTCTGTTGTTGATTGGTTGGACCCAGTGGCGTGTCATCCATGGTAGCTGTGGGAGCACCACTTCCCTTGTATTTTCTAAAATATAAATACATATTGTGCGATTATTTTCATATTTTAACGTTCTTTGAATTACTTAAAATTAATATTTTATTATAATCACATTATGTATTTTATTACAAATTTCTATACATGTGAAAAACAATGATAAGATTGCTATTGTGCATTCGAATATAAATTGGTATTCTCAATGGAAGAGCTGTATTTTTGAATACGGAACAGCTTCCACAATGAAAATATCTGAATCATGTAAAGCAGCCAGATTACATGCATTTGTGCATGGTTTTTACAGAGCACCAACCTTTGGTGGTTTAGCTGGTGGATGCTACACACCAAAATATCAAATAACGCTTTCAATGATTCCATCCATTAGTCACTCATAGGAAGCTATTTGACTAAGTGGATTGTTTGAGATTTAAAAAGTAAAGAATATTTTGTTATTTTTATGTTCGTTTCTTTACAAAGCTATATATAATTATAATTATATTGTCAGATTTTCAGACAAAATCTTTAGAATTTTTAATTTTTATCAGTTTTAGATATTAATAATTTTAAATAATATGAAAAACAATTTTCTGAAGCAAGNGCAGCCAGATTACATGCATTTGTGCATGGTTTTTACAGAGCACCAACCTCTCGTGGTTTAGCTGATGGATGCTACACACCAAAATATCAAATAACGCTTTCAATGATTCCATCCATTAGTCACTCATAGGAAGCTATTTGACTAAGTGGATTGTTTAAGATTTAAAAAGTAAAGAATATTTTATGTTATTTTTATGTTGATTTCTTTACAAAGCTATATTTAATTATAATTATATTGTCAGATTTTCAGACAAAATCTTTAGAATTTTTAATTTTTATCAGTTTTAGATATTAATAATTTAAAATAATATGAAAAACAATTTTCTGAAGCAAGTTTTAATTTTTTAAGCAAATTTTAATGGAGAATTTTTTGATCTATCTAAATTACATTAGTGAATTGCAATATTTATATTTGTGTCCAGACTATATTGTCAAGTCACTCTTAGAAATAAAAAAATATTATAATTAATGATGATCTGAATAAAGATGTACTAAAAGAATTATATGATTTAATATCATTAATTTTTATGTTACCATCTACAAATGCATCTGTTGAGTGCAGTTTATCAACCATGAAGCAAATTTGCAAGGAACACACAGCAGTCAGAGGAAAGATTGTTGTGTTGTGTGTGTATACTCAGGTGAACAATACAATACAAAATTGTACGCAAAAAAATGCAGCTTTATTTTCCTTTTTGTGTGGTTCTCCATACACCTGGTTCTTTAGGATCCCAACTATGTAGCTTCTACATGTACAAGATAGTTTCGATATGTCCTTTTGTATGAACAAAGGTGGGTGACATGTGTCCACAACAAATGATTAAAAATTGAGATATATTCCCGAAATATTTAACTAACTTATATACTAAAACAAAGAGAAAAGAGGAAGATGAGATGAAGGACTCAAAAAAATGGAAGGGAAACAAAGAGAAAGTTGGTGGGATACCCGGGCCTTTTGTAGATCTTCAATTTTCACAATGTCAAGACTTGCACTCAATCCGTCTTATTCTCTGTCCTTTTCTATATCAAAAATCTGAAAATTCCGAAGTATTCACAAAGCTCTCGATCTCAGCGATCACAGTACTGTTTGTTCGTTTCTTTCCAAACGACTTTAGGTATATTCCTTGTCCTACTAAGCACTAACTTCGACCACTTTTTCTTTCCTTCTGCTTTCCTTGAATGCTATCTCAAGAATGGCGCTGTCTCTTTTCTGACACCATCGGCACTTTTTTCTCTTTTGTTCCGCCCTTTCTGTTCCTGGACAACAGTTGCCACCACCCATAGAGAAGGAATGAATGAGAAAGTTCTAGAAACAGTGACATGAAGGACAAAGGATTGAGATTAATATAAAACTTATATTTAACCCCTATGTTTATAGGCATGGCATATTGCCACAGTTGTCACTAATGTTGCTTTCAATAGAAAAAGAGCTTTTAAGAACTTTGATGGAGTCAACAACAAGTGATTTTTATGATAAAGTAATTAACAACTTTGCAGAAAAAAAAAATTGCCAAATAGAGTTAGTTCATAAAAAATAATAAAAATAATTTATATCTTTGTTTTGTGTCAATGTATCTATTTTAGAATTAAAATAAATGAACTGTTTATTTTTGTCATTTCTAGTATTTGTTTAAAATTTTTATGGAAACTGTGAGGTTCCAGAATGGGTCAAAACTAAAATTTAATTTTTACATGTTAAAAGCTAAATGCTATTGTCAAGTAAGACCAAAGGTTATGTTAGTTATGTAAGAGGGAGGAGAGAAAAGAAAACTAACTGTTAAAACAAACGCAAAGACGACTGATATAATGGATAAGGTGAAATGTTAGCTGGAGTAAAGGGAACTCTGACACAAGCGTTCATAAACAGTCAATCAAGGTTAAAAAAAGTCGAAAAATGGGAAAGATTAAACGGTTAGAAAAGCATCACATGCAATCATTAAAATCCAAAAATTGACAGAAAATAGAAACAATGGGCTGAATTATGAGCACATGGCTTATAGTTTTATCAACAAACTCCGGTCAGAGTCAACAAAAAGGTATTGGACAGACCTTTCTCATGACTTGATCAAGTCTCGGTTTTCATCTAGAAACAAAAGGGAGACCAATCAGGAAGTGAGGAAGGGGATACAGGACCAATCAAAAGGTGAGATTCGAGGGAAAAATCCTATAAAAATTCCATATCTCAAGGTCAAATCACTAATTTTCGCCTAGTGTAACCATGCCTAGTCTGTGTCGCATCCTCCCTGGATTGTTCCGACTCATCCCGAAATTGAAGGACCCACGACTAAGTCAGCATCATGCCTACATCATCTCTGCCCCGGGGCCTCACCATTGCCTAAGCATCGTCTCTGCCCTGGGGCCTCATCATCGCCTAAGCATCATCATCACTGTCACCATCAACGGTCAAGCAACACTATAAAATTGACAGTCATTGCACCCAGTGCCCAATCTTCAAAGCAGACTATTTTGTTCGTAGTTGTAAGTTATTTTATATCAAAAATAAACTGTTTTGTAAGGACATGTCATCTTTGCCTCCAGCATCACCACCCACATATGATCACTCCCTAGGTTTTTCCCTACGCACAATTAACCGATTGCCCCTAAAAGTCGGCTTTCTTACAAAACACAGTTTTTCTATCATCAAATGTCACGGTATGCCACTGGTATGCATGCAACTAGATTTAATAAAATGTACAATATAAAAGATATCTGAACATTCGTTTTAGTATCATTTGTAATTTTATTTTCTGCTGTGGCTTTGATATTTGCTATTAATCACATTATCTCTATCTGTTGAATTCTCAGTTATGCTTATCAGAAATATTGCAAAAACTTCAAATGCATTTTTAAGAAACTAAAAGCAAAAAAAAGTCCTAAACATTATTGTTTTATTTTCTTTTCATCACAAAATTATCTTCAGTTCCATTTTACTATTGAAACACATTAAAATTCATTACAAGCTGACATTATATTTTTTTAAAAGTAAAATGACAAACTGTAATATTCATGAAACTATAATAGGTAATAAGAATTAATTTAAACCTGTTATATGAATTGAGATTCTTATAATTTTAAATAAAATTTATTTGATATTTAGGTTTTTGGTGGACGTAAATGGACTCTTGGTTCTTTGGGTAGCAGTTGTTCGTCTATGGATGTATCTTTGCCTGGTTTTAAACGTGCTTCTAGTTTTGGTGTTGGAACAACTAAGTTAAGAAAGAAGAAATCTACAACATCACTTGCAGCAATTAGAGTTAAGCATCTTTGTTTTTAATAATCTATTGTTAATATTATTAAGAATTAAAATTAATTTTCTTCAAACGAGGATGTTTTCCTTTTTACAAAGTACAGTCATCTGAGCTTTTTTGTCAATCTTGGTCAGAAATAGCAACATCCATAAAAATTTTTTATAATAAAAAATATGAAGATGACAAAATAAAAATATGTTATTAATCATAAATTTGTTCTAGAAATAGTGGCACTAAATTGGAGTTTGACTGCATCTTACATCTAATTTTAAAACTGTTTTTATATATTTTTTTTGAAGAGTGGCTAAGTTTTGCATTGTATACAAACTGATAAATCTACTCAATATTTTCATAAATAACAGAATATTTATTGGAATTAATTTTATCAGAAATCATTATTTTGACTTCTATTATTTAGAGAGAAAGAATTGCAAACGAATTCTTAATATTATGGGGATTATGGAGTGATTTTAAGGATGTTTGTATACTTCTGCTTTGAGGCTTGTTTTTTGTGATTATTGGGATTAATGCAAATTTTCTCTTGGCTCTATTCTGTTTGATTTGTGTTAAAAGCACCAAATGTGTTGGAATTAGGATCTCTGTTTCAATATTAATGCAACATCAATTTGCTCTGAAAGATCCGAATGCTAAAATGGAAAATTTTATAGAAACAAGACGACAAAAATTAATAGATTGATGATGATCATTTTGTTTAGACATGTGTCCAAAATATATTATTATTATTATTATTATTATGCAATATGCAGATTAACAGGCAGTTATGACGATAGTTAAATCTGGATCTCGAGGTACAAACTGATAAATATTTTTATCACACTTATGGTTAGTGTTATACAGGTGTGTAACAGTGTAATTATATGTTTTGCAGGTGGTTAGAGCAAAAGAAAGAATAGACGAAGAATTAAAAATGCACAAGAAAGATGAAGAAAATAAAACTCAATCTTCATCAACAACAACATAGCATTAATTTGTAGAAAATATTCTCTGTAAAGTTAACTTTAGTAAACTTATATTTAATGTAATAGTGAAATTAAATTTTTATAAATATAGTTGAGTTTGTATATATATATATTTATTTGTTTTTGGTTTTTTAAATAAAATTTTAAATAATATTAATTCTAATCTATGAAATTAAATAGATTTTGGAGACATTAATAATGTTTATTCTGTATTGAAATCAAAAATGCAAGAAGAACCATTTGTCAAAGGATTGTTGATTTTTAACAGGACGTTTAAAGTGTTTAAAACACTGCAGACACTGGTAAAACAATGTACTGTTCAAAAAAATGCTTTGAACAGTGCAGAATTATGTTAATAATGAAAACTTTTTTTGTGAGTTCACTTGTACAACAAAAGTATCAGGAAGTGCAATGTACTGAACTACAAGCCCTCTATGAACCCTAAATACTGTGTCTTTATATACTATATAAAGGATATCCAGGTATTTTCTGCATAGTAGACTAATNTACTGACCAACGCTAACAGACTACCTATTGTTTAAAAGGCCCTCTGGTGGTGCAAGAAGACGGATTTTATAAAATAAAAAGCAGTCGAAACTGCATTTTTATGAATAAAAATTTGACAAACTATTTATCGTTTTATGACGAGTAAAATTTTTTCGTCGCGTTTGCGGCTTTTAAGTAATTCATAAACCTTCGAGGCGCAAGGCCCTTTGGACTGCGAGGCATAGGCGGTGGCCCACGTCGTCCATGTCTTACGCCGCCCTTGGTCATAGAAATGATGTAATTTGAATATAAATTATTTATAAATACGTATGTCAAGTTATATTTTTATTACTACGTAAAATGTATTTAAGAGTTTACGACCACTGTGCTGGGTGAGACGTTGTTGAAGCAAAAAAGGTTATGCATTCCATCATGTACATAAACAGTGTCGTAATTCGTAAAACAATCCAGATAATCGAAAATCCGGATAAGGGAGGTTCTACTGTATTTGTTTTATTTGGGTCTCTAATTAATAAAAAAAATGAAAAAACACCATTTTAAAGTGCATTTTTATTCGACTAATATATTTATAAATAATATGTAGCCCAAAAAGTAGCCAATGCGCCAAATGATATTTTTTACATCAAACTAAAAAAAGGGTAGGCAACTTTGGCACAAAGTAGCCAAATCATGCAACTCTGGAAGGAATACTAAATAAAGCTGGAGTTGGGACTGAAAAGGATTATAGACCCAAATGAAGGGGAAGGAGCGAAAGGACAAAAGATAAAGAAGCGAGGAAGGTTGAAAAATTAAGGGTCTATATTTGCTTAACAGAAAGTCTATTTAACTTTTCTTACTACTTTTTATCTTTTGGTCTTTCTCTCCTTTCCCTGAATTTGGGTCTATAATCCTTTTCAGTCACAACTCCAGCTTTATTTAGTATTTCTTTCTCATTCACATTTTTCAAGTATTTGAAAATATTTCCTTTCCACTCAAAAATAAAATATGTATAAAGGTTTATGGCTTTGTGAAACTTCTTTTATTGAGTTTATGCCATTGAAATAAATAAATAAAACAAAAAAAAAAATTTGTCGGTTTTGTTTACACGTTTATTGGGCCGCATTTGAACTTGCCTTGGGCCGCATGCAGCCTGTGGGCCACAGGTTAGACAACCCTTCTCTAGAGTGATATTAAGTTGTTCTTTAATTGCCTAAAGTAGGAAGTACATATATAAATAACTAATTGATTGATGAGTTTTTACTCAAGGTGTACATTTGCTATTGCCACAGTGATTTTACTTGTTTTTTGTTCAGTTTTAACTGTTTGTTCTTTGATTTATTATCATGATGGCAAGAAGTCCTCCAAAAAAATTAATTTACTTAATATTCCATATAACATTTCATAAAATCAACATACAAATACTGGATATGCATTGTATTACAAATATTTATTAATTTATTTTCATATGTTTGTAATTTTAAAAAAAATTATTTTTTAACTATAGTTTTTGAAATTCTCTTTTAACAAATTAGTAAGTAATATCTAAAAATTGTATATCAGAATTGTTATGCTTACTTTTATATTAACAAACATTTTTTTAATTTTTTAAATTATTTTTTTATTGAAAGTACAATTAGAATATAAGTAATATTTTCATTTTATAATATTATAGGATGGTAGTCCAAAATCACAATTCAGTGCTTCGTCTGAACCTCAGTCAGATGTAACTTTACGAAAACAAAGTCCTACTACAAAACATCGTCGTTCTGGTGTTAAATCTAGTCCTCAACTTCATGGTGATCAGGTATTAGAATGTGGTTCAACCAGTCCTCAGCATGGCAGCAGTCCTCCTTCTGCTTCCTCATGTGAAAATATTATGAAGTTGTCATTAGGGAGTCCAGTTATGCATTCATGCTTATCAACTAACCCTAGGTATCAATTAATCCTGTTTACATAAAAAATGATTTCAAATATAAAAATTCAAATATTGCTAAATTTTCATTATTGTTGTTATAGCAGAGAACGTCTTTGTCAAAGAGCATCTACTGGAGCAATTACTGGAACTAATGGTGATAGTCCTCCTCCTATTCTTTGTCGTCCAGCCATTACTCATTCTAGTCAAATGGATTTTGTTGAATTCACAGAATTATTTAGATCTTTTTTAGTACGCTCTCGAAAAGATTTGAAAGATCTTTTTGAACAGATTGCCTTAAAAACACAGGGAAAGTCTCAGAACGAAGATGGATCATTGTATATTGAAACTACTATTTCATCATCATCTAAAATGCTGGGTATAATTTATTTAATTTTATTTGAATTAAATTATTGGTTAATTGAATTTAAAAAATACAAATATTCCTCATATAATAATACAAATAATTTTAGGAAAATGTATACAAATAGTTAGTAGAATATTAAAATAAAAAGTAATTGTAATAAATTAATTGATTTTAATCAAAAATGATTGGTTTTTTCTAATCTTTTATATAAAGTGAATAATGGATCTGAGGCTATTAAGTGATAAAACCCAACAAGTGAAATAAGAGAGACCATATTTTCTCTAACAATAACAATTGTATTTATTGTAAAACACACATATAGAGACATAGATTTGGAAGATGCACACCAAAATATATATACTAGCTGTTACCCATGGCTTTTCCCATGCAGATTTTGCAATTTGTTAGAAATAACCTTCCCTTGGTACTTCACTAAGATTCTCAATCATTAGTTGTTAATAATTTGGTAAAATTACTGTTTTTTGTTTGTTTCAAACTATGGACTGCTAATGCACCTAAATTCAAGTTTCAAATATTATGGGAATCTGAGATACAATAAATCTGAGTTCAATTTTTTTTTTTTTGAAACATAAGTGACATTATCTGAAAATTTCTAAAGCATAAATATTTACTGAAAAATAGAGTTTCAGTTACCCCAGTAACTCTGTAAACCATGTTTGTGGTACTGCCTTTCAGGGCTAAGATTTTTTAAGCCTTAATCTTCTCCCTCTTCCCCCACAAGGGAATTTCAAAAAATCCCTTCTTAGTGTGCATTTTCATGACATACCCTAACTATGTATCAAATTTCACCTCTAGGTTCAGCGGTTTGCTCTGGGCAATGATGAATCAGTCAGTCAGTCAGGACATGTAATTTTATATGTATAAATAGAGTTCATGTGCCCTCTGGTGACTCTTGAGCTTTACAATCCTTAACACAACCTTTCAGTTTCAAAATTCACATTTTGAAATTGCATCAGAATAAAACATTAACAGTGTGATGTCCTGAATCTACCCAAGAGTTTTCTAAGACAAATGAATCTTTTTGAACACAGTATTTGATAAGACTATTTGCTATATTATTACTTGAGGAACATAGCCTAGATTCAAAAGTTTTTTAGCAACCAAGTCTTTAAAGCTCATATGTCATTGTGTTTTGATCTTTTGTTGTTCTCATAGTTTACAATTATGCTGATGGCACTTTGATTATCCATGCTCATGACTGTTGTGATTTATTTTCAAAAATTTAATTCAGATATTATTCCTTGAAGGTTAGTTCAGCAGCAGTTGCTGCAGACACTAAATATTCTGACTCTGCTGAAGATAGTGCTTTTTGGACTATCAGGATATGACGTTATAATTACAAAAATGGCATATCTACTTTTGCTTTTCCTGCCATTCTGTCACCTACCCAGTCTGCATCTGAGAATACAATTAGTACAAACAAAATAGTTTGTACTAATTGATATAGAGAATACAATTGAACAAACAAAATAGTTTAAAATTAGATCTTTTGTTTGTTTTAGGTATCATAGTACTCTCTTTCCAGCCATCCAAAGAATCTTAGTAGGTTTATCAAGATATTAACTTAAGTAGGAAACAACAAATAAAATATCTGGATAGAGTTATATGTGCAATGTACAATAAAGTTTTTAATAATAATCTATATGGAACTCTCAAAATTTCTTCTGAAAGATTAGCTTGAAATCTTTGGGGTTAAACACTTTTACCCCAAAGATTGGGGTTAAACACTTTTAAATTCCTTCATTTTGAACTTTACTACTTAGCACTTTTTCAATAATATTTTCTTGTGATAATGACAATGAATTTCTATACCTAGTGACATCTATTCCTGAAAACTTCTTTGGCTATCCTATTAGTTTTATACTAAATTCTGTCTTTAAATTGATTATTAGTTTGTCAGCTTCTTCAAATAGCAGAATATCATCTACAAAAAGAATTAAATGTATATTATCTCCAATATATTGTATAAGCAAAAGTCATAATTTGCACTTCCAAGTTATGAAAACACTCATTCCAGCATCTAGATACTTCTCTCAATCCATATAGTACTCATTTTAATTTTAGAGCTTAATTATTTGTTGTTAAGCCTTCAGGAGTACACATCAACTTTCAGCTTCTGCTTTTCATTAATTGCCTTCAACAGGAGTAATCTAATTGTTGATATTCTTACTACATGTGTATATGAGTTTTAAGTTATTCTTCTTGAACCCTTTTGCAATAAGATATGCTTTTCTTGTTCCATTACCCTTGTAGATTTTATTCAAAATACCCACTCTATTGGATCTGTGGCATTTGCACCTGCAGTGCCGCAGGTCACCATTCCTGGTTACTTACCATTTAGAGAACAATGGTCAATACAAAGAAAAAAATCATGTGATGCAAGTAGTCATTTTGTTTCAAGCAGAAAAAAAGGATATTTGCCATCAGCTTGTGAAGTGTCTTGTGCATACAGTCCAAACAACATGTATACAACATTCTTTGTTAAATAAAACTTTAATTTAGCATTGTTTGTTTTATCTCAGCATTGTTTATGTTATTGGTGCTACCTGCATCACCAGCAAACACAAATTCCAAGACAACCACAACAACTAGTTGAACTTTGAACTATGTGACATTTTTCTTCTGCAACATCTTTGGCAGCCTAGATAAGAACATCTTTGTTTCATTCCTACTAAAAATGAACAAAGAAGCTACTTAGTCTTCCTCCAACAAGATCCATTGTTTTGCCTTCAGAGAACTCCCATTCTGGAGGCAAATCCAGGATTATGGTTTACTCAAGTAGAGTCTCATTTCATCATCTCAGGAATATCGACTGACTCAGCATCACTACATTGTGGCCACATTTGAAAGTGACATCCTTACACAAGTTGATGATATTGTCCAGCATCACCCATGACAAATATGTATAATACACTAAAAACTAAACTTAGAGTGTTTCACTGACTCAAAGGAATGGCAACTATATCTCTTTGTCCGGGATCTCAAGCTAGGAGACCATCCCAGCTACTGTGTAGAATGCAAGAACTATCTATGAGCAAGATAGGAGACAATATACTTCATTCTCTTTGGTTACAAAGACTCTCACTACAGGCTCAGCAGATCCATTCATCCAGTAATGAAGGACTATCTATTCTGGATACCATGGCAGAAAAAATTTGAGAAATAATATACCTGTGTATACACAATTCAGAACAACTTGAGTACAGACCAGCCTGGAACTGATCCTTTGCAAGTGGTTGCTATAGTCCATAAACTACAAGTCCAAATAGTGGAAATTTGTTTCAAACGTGATAGGAACATTTTCCCACACAGGGAAGCCCAATCAATAGCTTGTAACTGAACTTTTGATCGTATTCACCTAGAATCACCCACTCCAGTACAACACAGATACTACTGGTATCACTGTACATTCAGACACCAAGCTAAAAAGTGTTCATCTCCATGTTCTTTCCTAAGAAATACTCACAACTATGAGTGATGGCTCTTGGCATTCCTGGGCAATGACAAACCCCATCATCTTTTTATTACAGACAAACTGGGCAATGTTTCCTAATCAGCACAGGTACAAATGTTTCTGTCATTCCAGCAACAAGATAGAAAGGTAGCAATCGCCTTTGAAGCTTGCCCTCTTTGCCGCCAATGGTTCAATCGTCTGTACTTTTGACAAGCATTTGCTCACACACAATCTTTACCTCCACTACAAGTTCATCTGGTCATTTATCATTGCCACAGTTTCATATATTCACCATCATCTCACAAAGAGTCTTGTACATATGGTCTGAGCGATATACAATGTTCTTTGTTAAATAAAACTTGTTTAGTTACCTTGGCATTGTTTGTATCATCTGCACTACTTGCATCACCAGTAAACACACATTCCAAGACAACCACAACAAATCTTTATCCTTGGAAGTGTTGCTTCAATCCAGGTGCCAAATTTTTGTTCCTTTTTTTTATGGCATCTTTCCATTCTTTCCTTGGCTTGACTGCCTGTTCACACATTTCCAGATCTTATAAATATAAGCAATGTGAAATATGCATTTCATAGTCATTATACATCTGTAGTCTTTTCTTTGTTTCTTCCTCCTGTCTTTTCTCTTCCTATGATTTACCCTTTCATGATCACTATCACTTTTGTTGTTCCCCTCTTTATCTTTTGTGCAATAATAATCATCAAGAAAAAATTTAAAACTTGGCTGACAGTATTTCATTTTTTTAAAAATATATAAAAATATCACAAATATGCACAGAAAAAAATTCTTGCTATTCATGATAATTTTATATATTTAAAAAAAAATTAAATACTGTCAACTAAGTTTTAAATTTTTCCTTCTTATATTATATTGTGATATTGGCAAAATTAACCAGAGGACACTGTTTCCATTTGAATTCTAATTGCAGAGATGGAACCTCAAAGAAAAGATCATCTCTGTGTTTGAAAATTCTTATTTTGGACTGTCACTGGCAAACAACAGAAAATAAAACTAAAAGTAAAAATTTTTTTCTGTGCATATTCATGATATTTTTATATATTTTTTAAATCATCATCACTTTCCTGAATTTTATAGTAGGATGGCATGAAAATTTTGTTGAATTTTTACATCTCTGTCTATAATGATCTCGTTTTCTTTTTGATCCCAGATCTGTATCTTGACCTATAGTATCCTATTGTACCATTCTGACTTAAATGGCATATGACTAATTTGGCAAACTGTTGGTGATTATATAATCTACCACAATTTGCCAAAGAAATTTCAGAATCTTTGAGAACATTTCTAAATAAAAGAATGCATTTGGTTTCCAGAATTAAGTAGTTATTTTAATAATAATGACATGGTACCTAGTTTTAATTTTATTGATGTAAAATTTTTAATATATTTATTAGTTTTAGAAGTATTTTGAAAATTTATTTTCTGAACTATTGCATTCTACACAAAAAACTGAATATTTCCTTGAATGAAATCATTTTCTGCAGAATGTGAGATGAAATATTATGTTTGAAGATAATTCTTTAAAATTTATTTGTGTTTTGTTATGGAAAATAGATTGCAAATTTTAAATTTAACATTATTTCTCATAAGTTAAAGTAGAAGGGAGATTTTATGTTTCATTTTTAACAAGAAAATATTATTATCTGAGGAATCCTTGTACTTTAAGACTTATGAAAGCAGTATTTATTTTATATATTTGATTTTATTAACAATTTAGGTCTTCTTACAAGAAATACTCCACTTGATTATTGTGATAATAATCAGAGAAAAAAAATCTGTGATGCAATTGCTGCAGCAAGTATAGTATCAAATTGTGCAGGAGTGGATACTTCAAAAACTTTAATGTTAGGACTTCAAGATTTTAAGCATTTTTTGGCAACCTATCAAGGCGAAGATTTATCAGAACAAGATATTGCTCATATTATTCAAGTAAATAATGGTTTGTCCATCTAATCTTAATTATTGTCTGTAATGTTAATTAATTTCAACAAAATCATAACAAATAACTGCTTTGTTGGAGCTCACTCTAAATATCACATTTTCCCAAGCATTGTTGGGCAAGCAAGCCCATCATCAGAAAACATAAATGAATCAGCTTGATAGCTAAGTTATCTAAATTTGTTTAAATAACATCTGGATGTTGCACAGTCTGAGATCATTAACGCACATTTTTAACTACCCTATCCCTACTAATAAAATTATTTGACACCTTCCATACTTCCACACATGCAATATTTCATACCCTCTGCAAGAATTGCATTTTCTCATCAGCAAATAATGATAAATATAAAATAATAACATAATCACTGAATATGAATCAATCATTTCACTCTCCTAAAATCATCCACCTTGATTTTTTTGTATGTCCCCAACATTGTAAAAAATATTCTTTATTAATAATACGTATGAGCCAATTTCAAGCTTTTGATAATGTTTCAATGTCTTTGCCATTAAGTACTTTACCTCTCAAACTCCTTTTGTATATTCATGCCTTCTTTTCAACTTTCAAACTTGTTTTTTTCCCTCTTATTTTTTTCTAACATTCTCACACCTTCTTACTCTACCTTGTTTACTTTATCAAGGGCAATGGTTTTGTGCATGGTAGTAATTTTTCTTGTCCTAATATCTCTTCTATGCTTCTCTATTCTATTGGGTTGTTCAAAAAATAATTTTGTTTTTTTATTAGTAGAGGAATTAGATGTATTTTTACCAGCCAATTTCATTTTAAACCAAATTTTCATTATATACTTTGATAGCTGACATTTTAAGGCTTATTTGTAAAAAATTATGTTTGATTCTGTACAATTGTTTTTTTTTTTTTTCGGTGTTTCATTAAATGTGGAAAATCGAAATCATCATTTTCGGGTTATTTTGCTTTTTTATTACCAAAAAAGCAAAATGCTGTTCAAGCAAGAAAAAAATTGTGGTAAATGTATGGAGAAGATGTGTTGAGAGAAAGACAGTGCCAAAACTAGTTTACAAAATTTCGTTCTGGCAATTTCAATATTGAAGATGCACCACATTCTGGATGGTCAGGTGAAGCCAATGAAAACAAAATAAAGGTACTGATTGAAGCAAACTGCCAAAATAACAACACGTGAAATCACTAAGAGATTAAATTTGTCGAATTGAACTGTTTATGATTACAGTAGAGCGTCGATTATCCGAATCAATTGGGGACTGGGGTTGTTCGGAAAATCGATATTTCGGATAACCGATTATGTATGAAAAAATATATTAATTTATCCCATATTGAAATTTTTCTCCGTTGCGTGTCACTTCGCGTTGAATTTTCGTCTATGTTAAGCTTAACGAAGACTATTGTATCATTAAAAATTATTTTTTTATTTTGTACAAACAAAATAAATATACTGAAAAATGTAAAAACAATAAAAAAATTATACTTCAGAAGTTAATTTAGTATCAAAAAACGTAAAATATTTGAGTAGCCCAAGACATAGCCAAAGATTGCAGTGCCACAGCACTGGCAAAAATTTAAATTTGCCAACTGGAATTCTTTCGGATAATTGACTTTCGGATAATCAACGCTCTACTGTACTTGAAACAAATTGGTTTTGTTTCAAAGCTCAATATATGGGTTCCACATGTTCTTAAAGAGAGTTGCTCTCTTTGGTGGGATTTTAAGGAAATTTCTTTCTTCTTTTTTTGAGCTTTTATCAGACAATTTAACAACTGATTCAAAAGTGTATTGCCATCGAGTAAGAAAATTGAGTAATATCATCAAACAGAAAAGGCCAGAATTGATTAACAAAAAAGGTGTAGTGTTTTACCATGATAACGCCAAATTTCACACAAGTTTGGTAACTCCAGAAACTGTTACAGCTTAGATGGGATATGCTATCACACCAACCATATTTGCCAGATCAGGCACCCTCAGATTATTACTTGTTCTGGTCTATACAAAATTTTTTAAACTAAGACATTTACTTGAAATGAAAATGGCAAAAATCACTTGGATCAGTTTTTTGTAAGCAAAGATCAAAACTTTTATGAACGTGGAATCATGCTACTACCAGAAATGATGGCAACAGGTATTTGACCTAAATGGTCAATATATAATTCAATAAAATATTTATTTACTATAAAAATATTGTGTTTTTTCAAAATGAAATTACTTTCCGAACAACCCAATAGTATGTAGTGTGATGTACAAATGAAAATACCATTAGATGATGAGGGCGAATAGAACAAACAAGGAATCAATCACAGCAGATGGTGAGAAAAAGTACTTATTTGCATGTAAAAGATACATATTACAGATTCTGATGGATTCCAACTTTATAACAGGCAGTCACTCAAAATCTGAAATATTGGCAGGATAATTACACAATGTCGCAAAGTATACAAATGAGCCAATTTTGGGTAATACAATAAGAGTTTCCTTATAATTAATGCTTAAAAACTAACTTATGCTAAGGAGAAAAAAGAGATCAGAGTGTATAGGTAAGAAATAGCAAGATGGCTGATAGAAAAGAATAGAAAACTTGGGATGTACGGATGTTATTTAGCTTCCGTGAGGGCTTCCATATGGAACTTGCTTAGATTCACTTTGTGCTTTCATCTTCCGTTTTTCTATATCTGAGATTCACTAAGCCTTCTCTCCAATAAGTTCATAAACTTTTCTCACGCCAGTTTAGTTTCACTTTTTTCTCAGATATAGTGCCATCACATACAATAATCGGTCACCTCAAGTAGTGATCTAAGGGACTGTGATAGCTCAGCGATATGTTAGTGACATCCTGCAGCCACATACGTTGCCTCTCATGGCAGAGCTCCCAAGTGAAATTTTCCAACAGGACAATGCTTAACTATACACAGCAAGGGTGTCACAAGACTGCCTGCAGCACATTGCCACACCTTTCTGGCCTGCCTGGTTCCCTGGTTCGCCACCAACTGAATGTCTGGGATACCAAGTTGGACAACCTAGGAGTTTGGCTGAACTAGAGGACTACTTCCAGCAACTGTGGACTGAGATACCATAAGATACCATACAATATTTGTATGTCTCCATGCCTGCTCGTATCACATCATGTATTCATGCTAGAGGTGGCCCAACAGGGTACTAGAACCTCCTTTCATTTGTGGTTTTTCCTGCAATAGATGATCCTTTTGCTTTCATTGTGTAATCACTTATATCACCATTACACTCACACATGAACAGTTTTGTTCGATTCTGACAACTCCTCCTTGGTGCACTAATTTTTATAGCAATGAGTGTATAGCAGAGGGAAAGTATGGTGATTGATTAAAAAATAACCCCCAAGGTTTTTATAGTTTTAGACTTGGGACCTTAAAACATTGAAAAATGCAAAAAATTTGGGGTTTTTTCCTTTGTGTATGTGTATGGTGTTGGGGAGCATAATTTTATTCATCCTCTTTGAAGCTTAATAACTCTTGTGCCTTTTTTCAAAAATTTCTGAAATTTTGCAGGAAGGTTTGTTTATTAGGGAGATTGATGGTATTAAATGTTGAGGGAGTTAAGAAATAGAGGAGGGTCATGTGTCATTTCTTGAATAGGATTGGACTTAATGATTTTACTTGTTATTAGCATTTACAGTTTTTTTTATAATACTCATCCCTATTCTCAAAATTAAGCTTTTTACTATTTTATAATAATTAAAAATATAAAATGTTTTTTAAAATAAAGTATCATATCAGATGGTGCCAAATAATTTCAAGTGTTACCAGGAAAGTTAAGCAGCATGTTGCTGGATTTTTTGATTGATGATAAAGGGAAAAAGAAAGAGAGTAACAAAGTGGGATATATGTTGTTCCATTAAGTCATGAGAGAGAAGTGAATAAAATGTATATGGGAGTTAAAAAAGATAACTACAAACTAGTGTGGCTGTCAGTCGTATTATTTGCGTACAGATATACCTTGACTTACATTGTTTTGAGTTACATCGTTCCCGATTATACATCGTTTATCAAAAAAGTATATGGAAAAATAAAAATCAAGTTTAAGTCATTTTATTCAACTTTACGTCTGCCCGCCACAAATATTGAAGTTGTAATATCACTAGAAAAGCGTTTAAAGCACATAAAATCATATTAAAATATATACATTTACAGGTATGTACTGTATGTATAGTACATGCATTTGTAAATTTAGATTACTTTTTTCTGTACTATATTAAAAACTAAAATTTATTTGTTTGTAAGCTTAAAATAGATCCTTAATAACCATATATTATTAAAAATGCATTAATAAATAAAATACAGAACCAGGAATGGTAATTTATGGTTTAGCCTAGTCACAAGTAGATTCGGAGACAAGTAAATTCGACTTACGTCACCTCTCCTGGAACCAATTACCGATGTAAGGCAAGGTATACCTGTGTTTATATTATTTTATATGTAATATAAGTTAGTTTTAGCAATTCCTTTGTTCTTTGTCTTATCTATCCTCTGAAACTTTCCCTTCCACTCCTTATACTCTTTGGATGGGATTACATTTCAAAGAAATAAACAATGAGAACAATAGAAGTATAAGACCCAGGAGGTCTTGCAGAAAGAGAGAAACTCATTTTGTGCCTGGATGGCAGAGAGAGGTGTGAGAAGAAATTGCTCTCAAATGGTATGCATAGGTTAGCAGCAGAAGCAAATAAAAGATATTAGGAGCCAAAAATCAGACTTGAAAGAGAGAAGAGAGATCTAGGCTAGCATGGAGCTAAAGAGAAAGCTACTGAAGAATGAGAGATTCACTGAAGAGACAGGAAGTTTACAAAAAATCAAGAAGGACTCAAGGGTGGTGTCCCACCCAAGTATCTACACAAAGAAAAGGAAATCCTGGGTATTTCACTCTTCTTCTATTTCTACCTCTATATATCTACCCTTGTTCTTTTCGTCTAGTTGTAAGTAGAATAAGTTTTAGTTTTAAGGCCTACACATGTCTGATTGTCGGGTTC